GCAGAATTAAATTCATAAGTGACTGTTGAACCAGTTCAGTTAGTGTGTGAGAGGAAGTGCTGGTGGAAACCTGTTTGCTCAGTGGACATTTGATGGTTGATGCCGATTGTGTCCATTTGTATCAACTTATATTTTACACTTCAAAGATGGTCTTATTTCAAAACTAATACACTTAAAATTATTATAATATACTGTATATTGTTTATATTTTAACTGAGAAACTGGAAGAAAGACAAGATTACAACAATAATATTTACAGTTAGGCTTTTTGCCAAAATAATTTAAATTACTCAAAACTAAAAGCTGTATTTTTACATTAAAATTTTTAATGTTTTGACAATAACAATAAGCTTAAAGGTACTTAACTGGCACTCTGCTGCCTACATCCCTTTTGTTGTAATTCCATGTTCTCTACCCTGTGTTGCCACAGTACAGTCTGTAAATTAGTCCCACTTGCCACCTAGCAAAGGTTATAATTTTTCAAACTGTGAGAAGTCATTTTAAACAGACAGCCATAAGGATCTCTTGTCAGCTAAAATTCTGAAAGAATGGCTGCCAGACCAAAGAGGCTGCATTCTTGTGCACAGAAAGAGTGGGACAAATAAAACACAGAAACCAAGGTTAACAATGGTTTAAATTTTGAGATAGAGAGTTTTAAGCTCATGATGCACCAAGCCGATGGTCGTCAGCCACTGGCCACTGTCAGGCCATCAGTGAGCATCTGTCGGGGCTTATCTTTCTGGTGTGCCCTGAACCATTGGCACTAGTCAGACCCTGTAGACGGCTTTTAGCCAATTTGGCATGTTGAATCGATGTCAGCCTGTTAGGCCTTGTTGGTGAGAGAGAGAGAGACCACTCTCATTGGCTGTTCAGCTTAGCGAATCAGTGCATGAGAAGAGAAAGCTTTGGGAAAACCCCTTCAGCCTGTAGTATCCATCATTTCACACTTTTAGTGCAGTTTCTTGTTGTTGTTGTTGTTATTGTTTTGCCTCCTTCAGCCTCCTTCGTTCTTCCACAACCAAAAGACAAGCTCTTCTTCTTTCCCTTTGTGAATGGTGAATGCAGATTCTACCACCTGATGGTAGGGGAAGTTATTTCTGTAACACAGATGCAGAATCTACATGCTAGTTGTCTGTTGGCTGTAGTCTGTGCAGTGTGCTCAAGTGCCACTTTTCCAACCCGAATGGTCCGGACAGCAGCATTATGAGGTGACGGCCTTCGTCGATGCTAGTTCTGTCACGTCAGCTTGGTGTGTCTCTGCCATTCAAAGCAGCCAAATGACACAAATTTGAGTTTACTTGTTAGTCAGCTAACACTAGCTTCAGTCTGGATGCTGCATTTTGTACAGTTTGCTGCAACATAGTGTGATGGGGGGGGCAAAGAGTGGTCAGGAGGAATGTTGCGTGTCAGTTTGTTTTGAGTCTCACTACACCCTCTAGTGGCTGAAAAGAAATGAAATAGAGTAGCTTTAAGTATCTTTTATGCTGTTTTGCATCATTACTAGAAGCAATAATTATTTTTCTTGAATGTGTACTCAGTCATTACAAGTAAACACTTTAGTGACAATGCACTGTTAGTTTTAATGAGAGGTTGTTTGATAAATTCACCCTGTGCCTATTTACTGCAATGACGAACATCAAATATCAAATTGGAATATCTGTTTAATATAGAATGAAAAAAAGTGTTTGGAACAACACAAGAAAAAGAAAAATACTGAAACAGGGACTAGATCACTGTTTTATAAGACAACATGCCATAAACTTTATGACACTACTTGCTTAAAAACATGATTAATTAAGATGTGAAGATACTGCCAAAGAAGCACAGTTAGCAATAGAATTATATCATCTCTCTCTTTATCTGTCTCTCTCTCTCTCTCTCTCTCTTTGTGGGTGTGTGTCTCACTATGTTGGAAACTTCTTTTTGCTCAGCCATAGCATATGAGAGTGTTACAATTATAAAACAAGATTGACAGGACGGATAGTGTTGCACTGGCAGATGACAGTTCTTGGCTGTTATTCCCAGCAAAGCCCACAAACACTCACACATGCATGCACACACACACACACGCAAACGCACACACTTTAGACAGCTCCAACACTAGGATCACATGCAAAGGGATGGGGGTGAAGGAGGGGCGCTGGCGGACACAGCGTGGTGTGTGTGTGTGTGTGTGGGGCAGGAGGGGTTCAAGGTCAGTGCAACCACATGGTGCTTGCCGTCAAACACTCAAGTGGAGGCAAGTGGTATAAGGTGCATGGTATAACATGCATATAAATAATTGTACAAACTTTTACTTCACACTTTGCTAAAAATGGATGAGGTCTCTTAAAAATTTTGTGTTTATTGTATTAGTAATAGTTTGGAATGTTCACATCACATTAGGTGCATTGGAAGTGATGAATCCTCACACGTTCTTGGAAACACAAGGAGTTGTTAAAAATAGAAAGTAACATGCAGACTTTCACACAGTGCAAACACTAAAGATTTGTTTTTTAAAATTTTTGTTCAGTGTTATGCACTTATCGATGCCCAGTGTCATTTTCAACTTATTTCACCTAAAAAGCTGTTGTTGGTGTATGTTTTCTTTTCCACTGTCTTGTTTCTGGTCAAATTGCTACAGTAACTTTTTAAAAATGCTCCTGCCTTGACTATAGGTTTAGCTTACTATACCAGATACGAGCTAGTAAAGTCAATAAATACATATTTGGAAAAACAGTCAGTATCACTATTATAGCTCAACATTTTGGGAAATACACATATGTGCTTTTTTGCCAAGAGATTGATGAGAAGACTGACACTACCTTCAGGGTTGTATGCTAAACATGAGGCCTGCACAGAGGACCTGCACCTGGTTATCTTAGATTAGATTAACTTATCTTAGCATAATGTCTGAAAGCAGGGTGAAACAGATAGCCCGGCTCAAATTAAAAAATAAAATAAATCAGCACTTCCATATTGTTTACCATAATACATTTTGTTTGTTTAATTTGCATGCAAACAGAAATGTAAAAAGGAAAAGTGCATGTTTTATTGGAGTGACTTTCAGGAGTTTTGTTGTCTGGTCCTTTAATATTGTGATTAGGCAACAAAAATTACCTTATATGACACATAGCAAAACGTGTCAAATGTTCACAGTGAAAATTTATGTAACTTTGACTTGGTGTTACCATGAAGCAGGTTGCCAAAAACTAAAGCAGCAACAAAAATGGATACTCTTGGAGAAGAAGCAACATAGCAAAGGCATGGCTCTCCTAGTACGACAAAGATGTAGGCTGTCCATTCCTCACAGCGTCACATAACAAGTCTGGAGCAGAGGGAGCTGGCACAAATTTCTAAGATCACAAGGTGCTGGCTGTGAACTCAGCTGTCAGGGGCCGACAAAACGGCTGCTCCTTCAAACTAGATGGATGGCCTGGAAGGTACTATGCCACCTACAAGACTCTGATGGCTTAGTGTTGATCTATTTTTAAATCAGTATCACACACTAAACATTTTCATGGTGAGCTCTGTTCACAGTGGCTCCAGCTCAACATTTCTGTCCCAGCATACTCAGTAAACACCTGTGGTTAAATGCTGATGATCTTGCAGATTTTACCAGGTGGACCAAATTTAATGGAACCTTAAATGGAACCCTGCAACTTGTTCTGATGCCCTCATGTGGTCATAAGTCAATGCAAGTTAAACAGCAAAACTTGTCTCTAAAATGCAGTAAGCGAGTGCAAAGAGAGATGAACTGTTCAGTCATGGTGCCACTGCCACCAATCATAAAGAAGAGGTTTAGGTGATCACTGTGTACTAATACTGTTAGTGCTACCTGAGCACTGAAGTCCTCAGATTCTGGCTGCCAGCATGGATAAAATGTCTTAATTTTTTCTTCCTGGAATTTTGGGGGGGGTTATGGCCTCAGGGAAGTTTGCATTTTACAATTGCAATGTACATATGAATTTCGTGGGCAGATTCCAGTATTTGTGACTCAGTATATTTAAAATTGAATACTAATAGGCTACAAAACAAACATAACATACAAAACTTCTGTATATTCCCCAAACCACAATTTTTTTCTGTTAGTGTGCAGAAGGCTTTGACCTGTATGAGAGGAAGTAAAAATGAAAAAACTGCATAACTGAAATTAAACAGACATTCTTTTTGGTATTTTTTCTGGGTTGTGTAGGGTTGTTTAAAAGGACTTAGACTCACAACCTCAGTAAACTATAATTTCATAATAATAAACCTTAAAAAACAAATTGAAATGATACTAGGTTCTTTGGTTTATATGATTTCTTTTATCTTAGCCAGTATTACATTTTCATGAAACCACTTTTCCAGTGGTGTAAGAAGTACTCAGATTGTTTACTTAAGTAAAAGTAACAAAACCACAGTGTAAAAATACACATAAAAGTGTTGCATTCAAAATGTCACTTAAGTAAAAGTGCAAAATTATTAGCAAAGATATACTTAAAGTATCAAAGATAAAAGTACTAATTATGCAAAATGGCACAATTTACACTGATGTACATCATATTATTTGATTATAATTATTGATGTATTATTGTGTAAATCACATTTATTGTTACAGTTGGTAAAGGTGGAACTAATTTTAACTTATATAGTATGCTTATAATTTGAATTACTGCTGTGAATTTTACACCAAGGATAAACAAATCTTGTGATGATATTGCATTTTGTTTTATAAACCTCATTGTGAAAAGTAACTAATTAAGTAACTAACTAAAGTTATCAAATAAATGAAGTGAGTACAAAATGGAATATTTTTCTTTGAGCTGTAGTGAAGTTGAAGTATGAGGTAGCAGAAAATGAAGATACTCAAGTATAGTACAGATACCCAAAAATGTGCTTAAATACGGTACCTGAGTAAATGCACTTAGTTACTTTCCACAATTTTCAATCCAAAGGTCTCCCGGGATAATCTTCATTAAAAGTCGACGCTTTTATTTTGAAACCAACCTACAGGAAGTGTTATTGTGGTAGAGTCATCAAGGATTTGTCTCATTTGTGTTGGTGTTTTAGGTCGGGATGGTGACGTAATGGTCCAGCGAGGACAAGTTTATTCACAATAACCTTTACGTCATTATCTGTGTCTGCACTTCCTGCAGGGAATCCGCGATCACCTTTAGGGTAAGTAAACTTTATGTTCCCGTATTATTCAGTAGAACACAAAGCTCACGTAAGAGAAACAGATAACAAACAATGAATTTCACTTTGAGTTCCGCGTTTTTATTGATACTCAGTGCGACTCTTACGTTAAGGAGGAAATTACTGAGCATAGAACGTATAGTACGTGCTAAAGCTAAACTTTAAAAAAAAAAGTGTAAGACGCACGTTAATATTGGAAAGGGGAAGAAAACGAAGGGGAAGGAAATAAGAAAAAGCAAGGACAGAAGTAGAGTACATACTGAACTAGAGAAACCTTTCCATACAGGCTACTCTGTAAAGTGTTGCTGGAGAAACTGCTCGTGGGCGGTGATTGTTAATGTTTGAACTGAATACGGTGTGGAGACGAGAAAAATGTCCATGTGAGATAAATAAAAGCAATTGCTGTTGCTTGAAAAACAGGGTTAAACTCTGATGAGTCACACTGGAACACTGCATAGACAACCAATGAATGGTAAGCAGGACTGGAAAGCAGCCAAGTACACTGTGTACTTTACTATATTAAAGCACTTTACCTATTTCCATTGTGTACTTTATACTTTTTCTAGTTACTGGTACAAAACAGGCAACAATCCTTTGAAATGTCATGAATTTTTAGAGATTAAATTACCCAACAGTAATGCTGCTTAAGCTTAATTGTACATTAATACACCATAATAATCAGTGCAATAATATGATACATTAAATCACTGACTAGGATCATTCTCATCAATCTACATTAAAATGGCCTTGGCGTGCTCATTTTGCTCATTTCCAGCCGTTTAATGTTTAATCTTGGGTACCTCTAGATTAGCTTTGCACTCAACATAACTCCAAATATTCTCAAATTATTTCAGAACGATAAAACCCCAGAGCCTCCTCCTAAAAACATGTTTTACTTTTTCCACAACTGTGTGATAAATTACTCATTTTCTCAATTACTATACAGTATTACTCTATTTTCTCCTGCTGTCGGTGTTGTGTCGAAATCTTTTTCCCCTAACCTGAATCCTAACATTATCCTAACCACAACCACTGAGGGGGGCGCTCCATGAAAACAAGTGTTGAACAGAGGAAACACATGTTGACAGAGGAACGCTTTTCGACACAACACTGGTCAGGAGCCAGGACAATGCATAAACAAAAAACATAACAAATAAGCAACTTTTTTGACAATGACTTGTTTAAACCAGAGTATGAAGATGGACAACACGGTGAACTGCAGCAGCATTAATTTGAATGTTTCCTCCATAGATAGGTAAACAACAGTATAAGTACCAATGAAAAGAGATGTGTAACACTCTAAACAAAGTAGGTAATTGAGAAACCCCATATTTTAACTGGCACAATACAGACATAGTAACTTATCCAGCCTTAGACAAAATTCTCTCTAATCTTACAGAAACTAGGCATTAACAGTGTTTTTTAAACTTACCATTAAGTCCCACCAAGTAGTGGAAATGTCATAAGGTCAGTAAATCCAACTGGCGGTCGCTGCGTCTTCCCTCACACGACCACGTACCAAAGTAGTGAAATTAATTCCAACAGGTAGGGACAATAACATCATGGATTGTTAATTCGCTCGTTAACCCGCATCACATCACATGCTGCAGACACAATGGCCTCAAGCAGTCAAAACTAACAGGTACTGTGCTCCGGGGGAATCCAGCGATGATGCTTCACTGGCCGGCTGCTTGTAGGTTAGACCTGGTCAGGTAAAGCAGTGGGTCTTTGTACATGAACATTCCTGGGCATGCAGTAACCTCAAGCCCTGTATTTTTCTCCACATCCTCCAGTCACAGTGCAGCACGAGGCAAAATATATCCACAAAACCGCATGCAGTTGAAATATCCTGCTTCAAGGAAATCATTAAACTGTCACGTAAGACTTTACATTGTTAGAAAAAAAGTCTCACGAGTGAGAGTTTGCAAGACGTGTATCAACCTAGTTGATTCTGCATAGGATTATTAAAACAAATGTACACCTTATTTTTTGAGCTTTTGGTCACATTTAAGATGATAATTCACCATTGTAACATTGCAGATAAGTCAGAAAACAAGGAAAACCTTGTCATGGGCACTTTAAGTAACCCATAATGACGAAGTAAAAAGATGTTTTTAGAAATTTATTCTTTATTTAATAAAATTCAGAACTGAAATCTCTCATGTATAAATGTATTCAGACACTTAAATCAGCATTTGTAATAGCTCCTTTGGCAGCAGTTACAGCTTCGAGTTTCTAGCTTTGTACATCTGGATTTGTGCAGTTTATCCCATTCTCCCTGGCAGATCCTCTCATGCTCTGTCAGATTGGAAACAAAGCGTTTGTGAACTGCCGTCTCCACAGATGCTCTGTGGTGCTTAGGCCTGGGCCACTGGAGGACAGTCAGATACTTGTCCTTGCTTATGTTCTTTTACATTAAAAATAGAGCCTGACTTTTCCCTCTTTTGAGTCCATGCTAACAGATATACTCTGCAGACTGTCATTCTGTCTGCAGATTCTGATTCTGATTAACATTTTAGCTGAGTGATGGTAAGGTTCCTTTTTAAATACTAACCAGGTTTCACTTCCCTGTTTTCAAGAGCTACTTCCTTATGTTTAGCAGTTCTCAATGCACTGTATGCTGGTACATGGATAGAGCATAATTTCCAAAAGCCCACCAGGGAATAAGCAAACCAGCCATAACTGTGGTTGGTAAGGCCTCATCTGAAGAATGTATTTCACAGTCACAAAGTTGTTGTAGGTTGTGCTCAGTAAATGGGTCTCGAGTCTGGATTTAAATGCTGAGACAGTGTCTAATTCTTTTACAGTAACAGGAAGCCTGTTTGAGATGCAGACAGAAGAAATCTTTGAATCTAGCTTTTGTAAGGAATGACAAGGAGTCCTGATTTCTTGGAGCAGAGCATGCAGACGACCTTCGAAAGGGTAAGTAGATTGGTATTGATTTCTGTACATACAGTATTTCCCCTTCTCTTTCTAACCTATATCTAAGTTGGATTTATTGCATTAAACTGTTTAGTAGATGTGGTAAGCCACTTGGGTCCTGATGCACCTCATCTTTTGATCAGTTTGTTTGGCAGGTACAAGTAAACAGGCAGAAAAAAAACGTAAGCAAATATGTACTCACACAAATAAAACAAATCAAATGATTATATTAATCAAACAAATAGTTTATCACACTAATCAATTAACATTTGGCATTTGCTGTGTGATATAGTTACTCTACTTTTCTCCCCTGAAAAGTAATGTTTAATTTCATAAAAAGGTATACAGTGTTAGTTGATGTGGTCTTTATTTCAGGCAAGATGACCCACGTCTGCCCAGTATAATGTATAATGTGGATAGTGAATGTACAGGAAAAAACTAACTAAATGGAGAAACATAACAAATATCGTCTATATAGAATGATTTGACGAGCATGAAGCTATGTGACTAGTTGTGTGGATGCATTCTCCTGATTATTCTGGGATCTTCCATCCGTTTTTTGGCACTTTATAAGTCCAGCATACTTTTAGCTATACAGGCCATTCTGGTATCAAACTGTTCAGCTCTTCAAGGACATTCCTGCTTGTAGTCAACTTTTTTATAAAGTTTATACTTCATTTATTCAGCTTTTTGTTTACAATAGAAGTCAATGGGAGCTCAAAGTGCAGAGTTAATGACACAGTCCTGGAGTGCCATCTGATGGTCCATACCTCTCTCTCTCTCTCTCACCACCCATATGCATTTTCTTCAGACTCCCCCCACACACACACACACACCTTCTTGTTTTGCCTACTTTGTGGAAACCAATTGGAATATTTTCACATTTTAATAAGTTCAGCATACTTTCAGCTAGAAAAGCCATGTAGGTATCAACATGTTTAGCTCTTGAACAACATTATTCCTGCTTGTATTTATTGCATCTCATCCTTTAGATTATTGTAGTGGTTACAACAAACAAGCTACAGTTACTTCAGTTACTTCATTCAACAAAGAACTTCAAGGCTTTCAGCACCAAATCTACAGAGCACAGCCTATACCAAGCAACTGCCGCACCTGCCGCCACACAGTCGAACTGGGACGCAGAGATTTATGACGAGGCAGAGCCCTAATCTTACACTGCACAAATCCTCAACAGTGGCGATGTCACAGATTAAGAATTGCAATCGCTATTACAGTTGAACAACTGTTGGAAATTTACTTAGAAACATTGATCCCTGGACTTTTCATCTAGTACCAGCATAGGGTAAAATTTGTTCAGTACTTTGACCAAATACCTGCAAAACCAGCGATCTTTCCATCAAACTCAGCTGTATTCCATGTAAATTAGCAAACATGCTAACACACTAAATCACTGACTGTATAAATATGGACAAGGCATCACCACTTTCCTCCCTTAAATTTGAAGCCAAAATATTGTGAATATGGCGGCTGCCATCTTGGCATTTTGCAGCCAGATTCTGCGTAGTAGCTGTCAAGTAGTTGGGTGAAGTATCGGGCCGCCAATCAAAGCTGTCAAATCAACCAAAATACACCTCTTTTTATATAATCAAATATCTTATTACAGCCATACTTACCAGAAAAAGGACCACTTGTACACATACTAGGGTGATTATATCTACCAATTATAACAGAAATCACCTCTGGGAAAAAATGATCTGATTTGTAATTTAAGTTTTTAGTTTGCCTCATGTCCCATCCGCTAACGTGGAGGGCATGGGATTTATGATCTATACTGCAATCAGCCACTAGGGGGCAGCCACCAACTCACAGTGGCTTCACTTCTGGGAGTGGTCAGGCTGTATTTTCTAGTCAATGCACTAAAACCAGGAGGGTGAACCTGCTGAATACCTACTAAGCATCAGCATACTTGCACTGTCATTATTAGCATGTTAGCATGCTGAAGGTAGCACATTTATCTCAAAGCACCACTGACAGAGAACAGACTCCAGACCCGCTAGCATGACTGTAACTGATTATTGTGGATTCCTTTATCTTATCATCTGTATGTATACTTTAGTTAGAAAATTGCATTGTACAGCCCAGTGTAATCCCCCTGTGATATTTACTGTAGATTCCTGAGCTGGTGAGATGGAGGAAGCATACATTGAACTATACCAGCAGTTTCTCCGCCTGAGGTCACTATGTTTGAGACAGGCAGCCTTGTTGCATCAACTCGCAAGCACTCAGAAGAACCAGCAAGGTCCAAATAAACCCAAAATCTAATGGTCATGAATATATTTCTGTCATGATTTATGACACATATAAAATTCTTGATCTGCAGGTGTCCCCATTCTTAATGAAGAGCTGAGTGATATGGTGTCTATCCCTGTCCAGTGTACTCAAGAAATCCCCGTGATTTTCCAAGAAAAGCCTCAACCACGAACAGCCAGAGCAGACAACTCTGCAGCAGAGTGTGGCATCACTCACCTTTCCAGAAACGCGGGGGCTCACTTTGATCTCCTCACTGACGATATGGCCAAGCTGTCTGTGGATATACCCTGTCAGAGAAAGGAGGATGGGATGTTGGAGCAAATGGTGTCACCCCTGTTAACCCTGGACTCCTCGAGGTTGCAAGGCGCCTCTTCCTGTGAGTCCAGACCTCAAGGGCAAACAGATCACCCTGGAAGAGACAGAACTTGGCACATGATGAGGGTAAGTGTCTTGACTGAACAAAAATCCCAGCAGTGGCCATGGGTTTGTCAGTCTGTCCTTGGAGTTTTCCATGTTCTTGTTGAGAAACTCCCTGTCTTGTCCTTTATGTTTGTGTGTCAGATACCTGCGACAGACAGTCCCTCCCTGAGTCAGTCTGGTGGGTTGCTGATGTCCGACGTGGCGCTGCAGTCTGATGTTTGTGAGTTCTGTCAGGCCATTTTCCCTGGAGACACAACCACCAGAGGAGAGTTCCTGCGACACCTTTACACTCACATCACCTAGACTAAATTGGTCCTGCTTCTCCTCCTGACATACTTATGAGTTTGTAAGATGTGCTGTGATGAAGTAGGTACTGTATAACTCGGTTAACCCAATCTTTGGAAACAGCATTGAAATGAACCTGGTCTTCAACTGGCTTTTTACCTATTAATGAACATTAATTTCTGTCATTTATATGTAAACTGAAGGAAGGAAATTGATTTTTCATGCTTGTATTGCATATAAAATTATTAAGATATTTTATTTTTAAAGGCTCCATTCACCCAAATTTACATCTGTAATACTTGTATTTGTCCAATTCTGGAAATGTTTGCTTTTACCATTGAAATGTTACATAAAAATCCATCCATATATACTGTACATCTCTTTGCAGAATTAGTGGTTATTCTGTTTCTCTGGGTAATGCATTGCACTGACTGTATCAGTTTTTACAGGACTGTTTCTGTGAAAGCGTTGTTAATATAACTCAATCCAGGCCAGAAGGACAAAAATCATCCACTATGTTTATTTAAAGCAAATGTTTCGTTTTATTTTATTTTAATAAAATTTTTGAAGCACTTCCAGTTACTGTCTGTGAGAAGCAATATCGTGTTTATGATATTAAGTAACCGAAAGGGTTATATACATTGTATATAGTATCATTTTTAGTATTGTAAGATCATTGCAAAAATTGAAATTGGTAATGTTAAGCATGTTGTCACCCTTAGTCTATAGCAAAGGTGCCTGGATGTCACGTGTTATGCAGGTATCATCATCTTGACTCACTTTGTTGTTGTTGGCAACCTGCCATAAAACGTGAACCATTAGGTAGCTGTGACTTTGTTTGCCTTGGTTTTCGACATAGATTTGAATATTGTTATGCTTAGCTCCTGTGTGCTATGAGGAAAACTTTTGTAAGTTAGTTAAATTGTGTATGTTTATTAATGAGAGAAACTCTCCTTTATTTTAGTTATTTCTTTTTAAAATTTGCATGGTCAAACTGACTTTTTGTTTGTTTTGTTTGCTGTGTGTTGCAACAGTGCCCATCTTTGTATACAGAGGGGTTCACTCATTATAAATATTCATATTTTGTTATGGAGACAATTGGCCTTCCTGATTTCATGAATGGTCAGCTGCTGCTTTTTTAGTGTTTGCAGTCAAACATAAAACTGGATCAGCTGTGCTCTGCTTTTTGTTACTGGGGAGAGAGTGTAGGCTAAGAATAGACTCAGAGATTTAAAGCTGTTATTAGCGGTGCTGACAGCAGATTGATGACGGTGACTCCCTTCATCTGTTGACTCACAGCGAAGAAATCCATTTTGGATATAATTGTTCTTGTGTAATCAAAAGGCTCAGGGCAGCTTTCCATATGAACATCAACATTAACATCTCTGGTAAGTGTAAAAATGTAAATCAGTAAGAACAGTAAGAGTCCACCGCCATGGTTTGAGCTAAATTCTAACATGTTCACAGTGATCACTTTACCATGTTGTTAAACAGATGCAGTATTCACCATCTTACTTTAGCATGTTAGCATGCCAGCATTTGCTCATATGCAAAGTGCTAATGATGCTGAGGGGAGAGTCATACAGGAATTTCACAAGAGGATTCATAATTGTTTCAAATCATCCTCTGGGAACTATGGACATCTGTATCAGATTTCATGGCAATCTATCCAAGAGTTGTTGAGATATTTCAATAAAACACAAAAATTTGAATCTCATGGTGACACTAGAAAAAATTTGAGGGGGATCGTCAGTCAGTAGGATTATTCCTCTTGGGACCATGAAAACCCTTACATAATTGTGGAGATATTTCAGTCTGGACCAAAGTGATGGACATTGTTTCCCTAGAACCATGGCTCCTAATAGCACTGCTAAATTTAACTTTTAACATTCATTCACATTGGAGGCATTATGATTTTGTATTGCACATATAGTAACCACAGTGAAATAAACTGTCCTACAACCAAATTCCTTAGGGTTGAAGGTTGGCTGAAGGCTTTGGATTGTGGGCCTTCATGGTGTCGAAAGAGGGAATATGTGTGTGTGTGTGTGTGTGTGGATGAGCCATGTTGACATCACCGGTACAGGTGAGTCATACTGGCACCGAGTCTTGATGCGGAGCATCAGTGTAACAAACAAGACGACAGCAGGAGTGTTGCTGGCTGTGTGACGCAGCTTCTGCAACCTCTTCCAACACCCAAGAAAAATCGGTTGTGGAAAACACTGCGCCGTGCTGTGGCTTTAAACAATAAAATAACATTTATTGAAGTGTAACAAAATAAATAATCTGTTCTGCAACATAATAAACTGAGGAGGTTACTAATGCTTAAGAGACAGGCAAGTGTAACTGATACACAGCAAAGTATCTCACTGACATACTCAGTACAAAAATCCTTCATTAATTGTCAACATAAGCCTTGTCATTTAATGAAGTTTAAACACTTTAACAGTTCCTAATAAGGACCAAGAGTTTCAAATAATGTGTAGGAGCTGCTGTAACAAAAGTCAAGCACCATGGGATTTCTCTCCATTAACCTCTGTATGATTTTTTTTTATTTCTGTAGGTTTCAGCTACACCTAAAAATATCGTGTCAAAAATCTACACTAATCATCACAATTTCTAAAAAAAAAAATGTTGTTTTGAAATGTTTCTCCTCTATTCTGAAGCTTGTGACGTAGTATTGAACGCAGTATCTTCAATGGCTGTACAGCGGCACCTACTGGGCACAACTTGAATGTGGGTGAGAAGTGCCATGACGCCACCCCCCAACATACTGAGTCCTGTGAGTCTGAAACCTAACTGTAGGAAGCAGCAACTGTAAAATCTACTTTCAGCTGGAAATCAACAAAGCATCTGTATTCTTATTTCATACCTCGGAGTTTAGAAAAGGTATTCTGAGTACATTTTCACATAATGATAATGAAATGCCTCCAACAAAAGCCTGAAGTATTATTTCATACAAACACCATATCAGCCATTTGTACAAAATATCTGAGAAAGCTGTGAAGGGCGTAAGTGATGATGATTGGCGGCTTCATATCCCAGGGGCCTCAGCATGCCTGTTCAGATCCGTGGGTGATTAGATGATGCAGAAAAGGACAAAAGGCCTCTGAACATGACTGTGGTGTTTGTGTGTGCATTCTCTGAGAAATCAACTAAAGCCACAAGCGCTTGCCGTTTTCTTGCTCCATGTGCGTAGACTGTCTTTGAATGTCAAGGAATAATAGTCTCTGACTTTACCACACTGACTTCTGTCAAGAACCAGGACACGTTTGTTTCCTGAGGGTGATGGACTGCAGAGAACGTTATCATACTGTTGCTGAACATGCTGATAAAAGCCTCCATACAAAAAGCTCTATTTAACTACAGCTTGTTACTCAGTCTGGAGTAAGTTAAGAGAGTCCATTTCCCAAGTTGCAGTGCCCCCTGCTGTCTCAAGCCAGTTTCATCTGAAACTTTTCTGAACACAGTCACGGCACTGCTCACAACAGACTTGATTCATTGAACAAAATATCATGTTTTTCCTGATAAAATCACGTACATTTTCGCCATCAGCTAACATCTCGCAGGACACTTTTAAAAAATAAAAACTAAGTGTTTCCCCTAAATATTTACCGAATATAAAGTCAAAAGAGAACATTTTAAAACTTGATCCACAAGTTCAGAGTGTAGCGTCACTGCTGGGTTATGATACCAGTCGCTGGTAATTTTTGACATTTACTCTACTGATTTTGTAGCCTCACAATCCTGTCATGTGAGTGAAGCAGGAAACACCTGCAGCCTCTATACAGCTGACTGGAATTCAGGGGCAAGCCTGAGGACAAGTTCTCTGATAACATCTGAATGTGTTCATTTCCCCCGGTGGTTGTAGTCATCTTTAGTGATGCAAGGGCTGCTGCTCCTGCACGCTGATATGGAGCTCTGCCTCTCCACTTTACTGTCATGATCTGTGGAGAGACAAAGTTTAGGATGAGCTCAGTAGCTGGGTGAAGAACAAATACTAGTAAGAGAACCACTGAAAGTACTTCACAGCAACTTCACACTGAGACAAGAGGTTTTTAGGCCACGTGTTGATACACTTAGGGTCTGCAAAACCCCAAAATTCTACTGTGAGCCGTGTCAAGTGACTGGAAATGAATGAAATTAAACAACTCCAGCTTTATGTGTTTTTGCAAATGATTTATTTTAACTTGGTGCTGTTGTTATTGCAGCTAAGAGTCAGCGTAACCAAGATGCAACCAGTGTTTGTAAAACCTCTGAATAGTAGTTAAGGGAATTCAGCAAGAAAGTCTCCCACATGGAGTGAAGTCATCATGGTTTGTATGACCAACCCAAGCTGTTGAATAACAGGAGTTGAATGGTTTTTAGTTGGTAATACAGTAGCGATGACATCCAGTGAGCAAGATAAGGAAAAAACGCAACCAAAACTTGTTCCATTCTTTGTTGGTAATGGAAAATTACTACTGAAATGCAACTTGAAAAGCTATGATTAAACACACAGCTTGTAAGTGACTTTATGTACTGTTCTGCATGTAACACTTTACCACAGCATCTTAAAGTCTGAGGTCTAAACAGCACCCAAAGTGGTTCTCTTCTGTTCATTCATTTCCTTCTTTAGAAACTCCAAGTGTCCATGTGTTTTAACAGCATGCAGTAATAATAACAATAATTTATGGACAATGTTAGTTGTAATAAAACAGATTTAATAGCATGCAGTCAGCAAAATGCAAATAAAAATACAAGTGATTAGGTTTATCAGATGGAGGATTTGGATCAATGTATGAGAAATAACACCAACAGTGGAAGATAAGTTATGGTAGAAAACAGTGACGTTAAAAGGAAGTGAGATAAAGTTCTGATTAATGAAAGAGAGACAGAGGTAGGAAACTTGTGTGAGTGACAGAGGCAACAAAGAAAAAACAAGACAAAGTGAGGGTGATCGACGTCAGAGATGAAACATATGTCATTTTTTGTTATTTCCGCAGTCCTTTTGGTAGAGGGAGAAGATGTATAAAAAAGACTGTGCCATTTCCCTGCCCACAGGTTTTATTTTTGTACACTGTCGCTTGGTGAGTCAATGCAACGCCCCTCCAATTACCTCCCACTCCTCAACCCCCACGCCCCAGCCATCCCGCCCTTCAGCCCACGCACCTAACACACTCTGACGTCAGTTGCTGCTTTGGGGGGGGGGGGGGGGGGGTTGCG